CCCGTCGTCTGTACTGTACAACCGAGTAGCAAAAAAAAAAAAAAAAAAAAAAACTATTGTCCACATACTGTCGTCGTCTCCATGGAACAACATCGACATAAATATGCAACATCCCTGCCGACAGAGCGTCCAGGCTGTAACAAAAAAAAAAAAATACCACGGACGTCGTCATCTCCCTCCAGAGCGCGCGCGACCTCTCCCGGAGGACGGGCGACCATGCGGTCCTCCCCGGCGCCCTCCTCTCCCTCCGGCACCTGTGCCCCGTGCCCCGGTGAGGTATGCCGCCTGTGCTGCAGCGGCTACCGTGGCCACCTGTGCCCTGTATCTGCAGGCCGCAGTCTCGATCGGCTCGAACTCTGTGTCTGCGTCCTCGTCCTCCGCCGCCCGTGCAGCAATCCCCATCTCTCTCTCCCTCTGAATCGCGTCCAATGCTGCCTGACCAGCGGCGACCCCTGCCGCAAGTCGAGCCTCAACCTCCGAGAGGCCGCGCTTCGTTTCGTCCCGGGACGCATCAACAACCCCTCCTCGCCCAATGTGTACTGCTGTCCCAGCAGCATGTCCGTGGATGTCCCTGCGGTCTCGAGGACCAATGATCTCCTCGTCTCCGCTCGTGAGAAACCATGCATGCGGCCTGCCATCTGCACGCTCGGACGTCCTGATCCACCTTCCGCAGCCTGCGTCTGAACTGGCGTACGTCCCGAGAAGACGCCCCTCCCGGCGTCGTAATCCGCTTGCAACCGGTCCCCGACCCGACGAACAGCTGACCATCCGCCACCCACACCACCTCGGACTGTCGGCGGGGAACCGCCACCGTGCGCAACTACGGGTGCTGTCGTCTGGTCCCCAGCATCGAACACAGCCTCAGGAGTCCGTGCGAGCGGTGGAGGCATCGATCCTGCACTGTCTCTGCCGCCGTTGCTGCGTCTGCCGAACCCCACCTCACCCGCTCCGGACTCCCTCCCTCTCACGCCGCTGAGCGACGAACCCGACCATCGAGGGCTCTGCACCACGAACGGCGGCGGTGAATACACCCTCCCAGGGGCCCGCCTCTTGCCGCTCACGCGGCCCATGTGTGCGAAAGGGTCATCCGTCAACGCTTGCGCCAAAGCGTCGACGTCGAAGAAAGTGTGCGCTGAGTCGTCAAGGCGCAAGGGAGGTACTGTGGGGTCCCTCAACACCAAGGCGAGCCTATACGCATCGTCCTCAGGACCGTGGTCATCGTCATCATCTCCGTCCGGTCCATCGTCTCCCCCGACACCCGCGGTATCCCCATCTCCACCGGGTCCACCCTCTCCCCTGCCACACACGGCGGCACCCTGTCCCTCATCACCCGAGGTCTTGCCGTCGCCACGCCCCCCACGAGGGGACCCACCACCCACGACAACATCCTGCCCCTCATCACCCACGGTCTCCCCGTCGCCGCGGCGTCCACCACCTAACCCACTAACCGCGGCGGCATCTGTCCCTCATTATCGAACTCCCCTTGAACTGCCTCCTTAGGGACACCCGAGTCGTCGTCGTGACGGCCTCCCCCCCCTCCCGTCTCCAAATCCCTACCGACATTGCCCGTCAAGATACGCGAACCGACCCTGCCATTGTGGCAAACTCCCCAGCTGCTCCTCCTCCTCTCGGTCCAAACGGGCATCCCTCTCCTCCTCAGTCTCAACAGGGCCCCGCACAACGTCCGCGTCGGTGCGCACCTCCGACGGCGATGCACGTCGACGTCCCTCGACACTGAAATCTCCCTAGCCCCCACCAAGCCCTCCGGCATCAAAGTCGTGTGTGCGGAGCTCCGACGGCGAGCGGGGGCGGATACCGGTGTCGGAAGGAGTCCTCTCCCCCCCACGATCCTCGCCGTCATGTGTCCGCTCTTTGCCTGCTGCCGACGCCAACCTCTCCGAACGCCTAAGTGCCTCGGGTTGTGCAGTGCTCCGATGATGGGAGGGAGAGAAGCGACGATCGCGAAGGGGCACCCACTCATCCTCGGCCTCCTCCTCGGCCTCGCTGTCGCTCCTAACCTCCCAACGCCTGCGTGTCTGCCGAAGACCTCCCCGTGGCTGCTGCTCCCCCGAGTCGTCGACGCCAACCTCCGTATGCGAACGTCCTCCATGACCACCACCGGCTCTGCTGCTGCCACTCGCCTGTGTGGTTGACGACACACCACCAGTGATAACTGATGTGAATGAATCCATGCCGTCACGTCCCCCACCGTAGGTGAAGTACACCCGCTCAACCATCGGGTCGCCACTCAACGACGTGTCATCATCGTATGTCCACTCGTCGTCGATGTCGTCGTCTGCCGCAGCAGCGTCCGCATCATCCCCACCCTCTGGCCACGGTCGCAGCTCCGTCGCCCTCTTCTCGAACACGTCCCGAACCGAATGGGCTCTGGACGGTCGGTTGTCATGGAAAGCGACAATTTGCCGCTGGATCTCCTGCTCGGGAACACTACCAGCAGGTCGCGCTCCCCACACCTCGGGCTCAACGTCTCCCTCCTCATCCTCGTCCGCTGCCGCCATCCCCTCCCGACTGGTCCCCATAACCCATGGCAACACGTAGCCACCACCCTGCCGTGCGCACGAGGCCAGCTTGAGATTGGTGGCAATCTCAACCAGCTGTGCAAGCTTGGCAAACCCAAGCTTGCAATGTCTCGCCGTGTTGATGCGCTCATGCTGCGCCCAGTTCCTCTCCGCTGGAGAGGTAGACGTCCACAAGTGCATGACACAGATGGCGATGGTACGCAACTCCGGGTGGGCCCGTCCATGGTCAAACCACCACTCTGCACATCGCTCGGTCTCGCGGTCCCCCCTGCAATCGTCCGCCTCGGCATCGGAGAGGGACCGATCTCCCCAATCCCCTCGCATAGAGTGGAAGTCCCTCATCTGGTCCCTCACGGTCCTGTACAGTCTGCCGACCGAATCGCCGCCGGTCTGCGCCAGGAGAAATCTGTCGCACTCCTCGACCACACGGGCGTCGTCCGCGGTCGTCTCTAACGAATGGTAGTACGTGAGGGACCGTGGACGAGGGTTGAGGAGGTGGGCCGCGGCATGTGCGGGCTCTAGCATGTGGAGGTTGCGGATGGCAACCTCACTCACGCACGGCTCGATCATGTCCGCCGGCACGTTGACCCTCCTCATCAACTGCAGCACATGCTGACTCCACTCGTAAACGACGGACATCATCATCCCTCCCCTATCCATCCTGCGCAACAGCTGGTGGACGGGTGCCTTGACAAGGATGGCGGACTGGACACAACGCCAAAACTCCGTGTTCCGGATCTGCTGCTGCACCCACTGCGCCTGCGATACATGCCTGCACTCCCACGGGATGCGTGCCCAAGCATCCCCGTGCAGCATGCTCTCCAACGCGTCTCGTCGGCCTTTGAGACACGTCAGCGTCAGGAAAACTGATGCAAACCGTGTCTCAACGGGCTCGACGAGCTGAACGCGAGGGCTCACCTTCCTAAACAGGGCGTGACCAGCGCCGTGCGATTTAATAAATCGCACAAGCGCTCGAGCGCGGGTGATGGTGTCCTTGACCCACCCCACTCGCGTCCCGATATCTGACAACATAAACTTGCAAACATGGGTGGTGCAGGGGAGCCAAGTGATCCTCCTAATGTCGGGCTCGGGGTCCGTGGTGAATCTGCGCGCTGCCGCCGTATAGTTACTGGCGAAGTTTGTGCAGAAGTCGATCACGTCCTTTGGAGGAAAGGACAAGATGATGGCCCGCCACCTACGGTACACGATGTCCGCTGTGTCTCGGACCGACCCGTCTCGTGCGATGGTGGCGTATAGCAGGGCGCCATTGGCGCCTTCGGCGGGGAAGTTCACAAGCGGCTTGCCGCTGCGCGACTTCCTCCCGTCGGAGAGGATGGTGGCACCGCTGTGCCGGAAAGCGGCGCGCACCGTACTCACCATCGTCGCCACCTTCGCCCTCTGCGAAGGGATACCGGCGCCCGCGGTAACCCTGAAGGAGGGAAACCGAAACTGGACAGTGCGAGGCACTCTCTCTGCCGCCTGCCGCACCCTCTGGAACTCCGGACCACGGAAGGCGTTGAATGGCAACCCCTTCGCGTAGATTTACTGCAGCCACGCGTCTGTGAACTCGGCCAACTTCTCCTTGGCGTACATCTCGTCAATCGTCGTCTGCCGAGCCCGCTTCTCCCTGCCCGTGTCTCGCACCTCGACGCCAGCCTCCCCCACTCCCCTCTTCTCCCTCCTAGCGCGCTCCAACTCAGGTCGCGGCGCCCTAGGAGCGGGACCCGCTCGACCGACGCCTCTCGACGTCATCACCACCTCCTCCCCTGGCAGGTCAGGCTCTCCGACTGCCTCGTCTGCCACCCCCCCCTCCTTGGCCCCACCCTCGTGGCCCTCCTCCTCATCAAGGGCGTCCTGAATGTCGTCCCTCTCTCCGTCGTCCATCCGCTGGAGTGAGCAGAGGAGATAAATGCAAAAGAGCCAGGCCTACGAGAGAGGGCATCTGCTACTTTGTTGTAGCAGCCCTTCCTATGTTTCAGTTCAAAGTCAAACATGTCTATGAACTGAATATATCGTGTCAACTTATCGTTTAACTCTCCCTGGGACTTCATCCACTGTAAGGTGGAGTGATCTGAGAAGATCTTGAAGTGTCTTCCCGAGAGAAAGTGCTTCCAATGTTTCATGGCACAAACAAGAGCATACAACTCTTTCTCGTAGGTAGTCTTGAAGCTTCTGAGTCTTGATCTTTTTACTCATGAACTGTACTGGTCGTAGACCATTCCCATCATCTTGCTGAAGAACTGCTCCAATGCCATACTGACTGGCGTGAGTGGTCAGGATGAATGGCAGAGTGGGGTCAGGCAACTTCAGGACTGGTGCACGAGTCAAGGCCTTGTTAAGTCGTGTGAAGGCCAACTGACAGGGAAGGGACCAAAGAAATGGAGTGTCTTTCTTTGTTAGGTTGGTATGGGTGCAGCTTCTGCAGAAAAGTTCCTGACAAACTTTCTGTAGTATGAGGCTAAACCCATGAAGGACCTGGCATCCCTCACTGCCTGTGGCTGTGGCCACTCCTGAATAGCAGCTATCTTGGCTGCTTCAGGAGCCAAGCCATCTCCAGAGATTACATGACCTTGATAGATGACAGAGGGAACTCCAAAAGAGGACTTCTCTCTGTTAATCTTATATTGGCTGTCACGTAATGCTTGAAGGACAAGAGCCAAGTGCTCCGCATGTTTCCTGGCAGTTCTGCTGAATACCACGATGTAATCCAGATAGACAACCATTAACTTGTCCAGGTAAGGCCTGAAGATGCGGTGCATCTCTGTCTAGAAGGTACCTGGGGCGTTGCAAAGTCCAAATGGCATGACCAGGAACTCGTAAGTACCATACTTGGTCTTGAAGGCTGATTTATAGACATCCTCCTCTGCCATCTCAATCTGGTGGTAGCCAGATTTGAGATCGACTTTGCTGAACACTGTGCAGCCCTGCACCATATCCAGCAGGCCATCGATCCTAGGAAGTGGCTCTGTACTCTTCCTACTGATCTTATTGAGACCCCTGTAGTCGATGCACATTCTGAATTCCCCATTCCCTTTCGGGACAAAGAGGACTGGTGCCCCAAATTCAGAAGTGCTCGGCCGTATCCAGCCTTTGTTGGTCAGGGTCTCAAGCTGTTTTCTAAGCTCCTCAAGCTCAGCAGGGGACATCCTGTAAATGCGGCCCTTGGGAGGGACCGCTCCAGGTAGTAGCTCAATATGATGCTTGGTTGGCCGGTTGGGTAACCCAAAGGGCTCCTGCATCAGATCAGCATACTGGTCCACCACCTGCTGTATCTCAGGAGGACAGGAAACAGTAGGAGCGTCTGTCTGCTTGACCAGAGCCAAGAACATGCGCTCATGGTCGTACTGGCGCGAGAGAGCTTAGAACTCCCTCGCTCTCAAACAGTAGCAACTGGTTTTAGGGTGGTGTTCAACAGCAATCATACATGGCTGATACACCCCCTGTCTATCAGGTAGTTCAACCTTTGGGATTTGCTAGTCGATCCTTGGGTTGACGGCCTTCAGCCACTGCATAGAGAACACCAGGCCAAAGGGTAGATCAGGGAATATGTAGAAGTTCAGACTATGCCTGACTTCTCCAGCACTATCGAAGGTAACAGGGATACCCCTGACCTTCTCCCTGATAGTAAGAACAGTGGAGTCACCTATCCTGACCAGCAAAGTTTGTTGCAGCTTCTGAACTTTCATACCCAGATGCAGTTTCTTTACAGCACTGGGAGATATGAAGTTCCTGGTGGCTCCACAATCTAACATCCCTTTGATCCTTATGTGATTGATCAGGGGCCGAAGTAGGATGAAATCAGACTTGCTTTTCTTTTGTTCCTTCAGATGAAGGAAGAAAGCAGCAAGTGACTAAAGCTCATCCTGCCCCGGGTCAGGATCCTCGTAGCAGAAAGATGCTGCCCGTGAAGTCCCCAAATACTCACGTACAGGCTCAACTGAAACAGCTGCAGATTCACCTACCTGTGTAGATGAAGGTGCAGCACTGGGGGGAACTGCAGTCCCCAGGGTCTGTTTCAATTTTTTGACCGACCCGGGTCTGGCATGTAAGGGCAGTCCTTTAAAAAGTGTTGTCCCTCACACCTCAGGCAGACCCCTCTTTCTTTTCTTCTTCTCCACACTCCCTCCTGGATCTTGAGGTCATGCCAGGGGAGAGTGGAGGGATTGAGTGGGTCAGCTGGCATCCAGACGTCTTTGGGCAGATTAGGGCGCTGGGAGGAGGAAGGCCGACGTCCCTTGTCCTTCCCCTTGAGACTGGTTGAGGCTGTGGTGGGAGAAAATCTCTTCTGCTGCTGCAGAACTCCCAGAACAGCCTGAGTCAGGGCCGCTGCAACATCTGTTTCAGCAGCTGATCCAGTCCCAGATGATGGTGTATCAGCCTGGGAGTCTGAATCAGAAGCTGATGCAGACCCTGCATGTGCAAAGGCTGCCGTTCCCTTTCTACCACCACGAGGGAAGGCACCTTTCCTCCTGTCAGAGGAGGGGGCCTGGACGTGAAGTTTTGCCTCCATGTCCAGGAATGCACGACCAAAGGATCTCCAATCCTTGTGACCAGCGTTGTACAAAGCAACATAAAACTTCTCAGGGGCTGCCTTGCAGAAGTTTGTTAGTAGGTCATTTGCAGACATGACCAAACCAGGTGTGGAAGTTAGCTGCTCGAACTTTGCAAACAACAATTGCAGGGAACCGCTGTAGCGCAGCTGCCCCAGGCGAGCAATCCTGTCAGCAGCTTTGCGGGCACGCTCCTTGTCTGCAAAGCGGTCTTCCAGAGCCTGCAGAAGACTGTCCACCCCCAATCCTCCATGGTTTTCTGCAGACCACTGGAGGTATAGGTAGCCCACTTTTGTGCAGGCCCCTCCAACAGTCCTTGAACTGTAGCCACCTTTGTCTGTTCTGGGCATATGAAGCCCCTCAAGTAGGCCCTGGTCCCTGCAGCCCAGTCCCCAACATCAGTCTTGGGGTCATCCCCCCTGAATTTGTTGGGGGCAGGGATCTTGGGACCTCTCTGATCCCCTGCAACAACAGCAACAAAGGTGGGTTTGGCTGAGGCTTTTGGGGAAGGAGATGGTGAAGGGGAAGAATGATGCGAACCAGAGGGGGTTGAAGAGGGAGAAGAGGAAGGTTTTACTGAGAGGAGGAGACCGAGGAACAATCATTTTTGGCGGTTGTCAGCTGAGCAGTTAGAATCTGAATTGCACTCAGTATCTTGGACTGCTGAGCTGCCAGGTCGTCCACCCTGCGTTCCAGGCGACCGATGCGATCATCCCAGTTAGTGAAATAAGAACTGGTGGCCTTGTGCTCCAGAAGAGCCCACTTCGCCAGGTTCTCATTCACCTGGGAGCAACGGTCATTTGTCAGGACCTTGTTTAGCTTCTCCAACAGGTACTCCCTGCGAGAAGTATATGTTGTAGCCTCTAGCTCAGCTGCCTCCTGTCTCTCGAATTCTGCAAGCAGGGCCTGCTCCTGCTGCAGTCTTTCCTGTAGCTCCTCCTTCTTCTGCTGAGTAGCAGTGGCAGGAGTAGTAGGGGTGGAGGTAGATTGTTCTTGTCCTTCTACCTTCATCACCACTTTTACCTGTGGCTGCTGCTGGGCACCCGGTTCCGCCATTTTCCACTTTCAAATCAACAATAAATAATGGACAAGCAGAGGAGTATGCAGCGATTTTCAATCTCCTGCAGACACTCAGAAATCGCTGCTGCCTCAGACACAGAGGTAGGTGGGTGAATAGGCAACAAACGGTTTGGGTTAGAATGGTTTCCTTGGGGTCAGGTGTCCGACAGACAGATAGTCCAGTAAAATCATTCACACGATTTCCTTTTATTGACCCTGCACCACACTGAAGTTAGTAGACACAATCCACTACTGTTCCAGAGAAACACTAGATTTTCAGAGCCCACTAGAAAACAAGAGTAGTCAGTGAGAATGACAGAACATGGCAAGTACAGACAAGAAGTATCAAACAAGTAGGGCGATTCAGTCAGAAACCCTAAATCCTAACTCAAACTCCAATGTTGGCCCTGATGACTCTGGCGGCCATACCCTAGGGTATGGCGAACTACAGTATTCACTGTTTCCAGTGAATTACTGCAAATCCAATCAAGCGCTTCTGCAGTATTGCCTATTTTTGGATTGCGATTGACTGACAACTGTCAGAATTGAATTCTGACGGACAGAATTGAAGTTATGACTGACCCTAGGTAGCACATGCTATAATTAGAATCAGCGCAAAGCTGTAATTCACAGTATCACTACTTTTCCAGTGCAGAATTCACAGTCTGAGGAACCCAAATCAAGCGCAATACAGTAAGGCAGTCACAGAACAATTTTGGATGCAAAAGAATAAACAGAGGGTTAGAAATGAGTAGAGAAAGGTAGGGGAAAGATGACTATGGCTGTCATGCAGTCTGCGATTTTCACATCCAGTCACTGATAGACAGATAGACCATAATTACTGACTAATTTAATCCTATCTGAATCACTATACAGGTAGGTGCCGCACAACCCAGCATAGGAGGGGATTCCAAGAGTCCCAAAGGCGTTGGTAATGGTTACCAAATGAGGGTTTAGGGTTTTACAGTTTTACTTAAAAAAAAACAAAAAAAATAGGACTGTCGCTCCCAAGAAAAAAAAAAAAAAAAAAAAAAAGGGAGCAGATATCTTTTACCGCAAATGCGGTCTAGAAAATCCGTGCTCTAATCAAGATACGAATGTGTTATTTGTTAGAACAGGGTAGAGATGGGTCGAAAGTACTAAAAATATATCTAGCAAACTTTTAGACGCCAGCCCTGGACATCAGCTCTAGCATTCAGGTTCATCCGACAGCACTCAGCTGAGAGGAGCTAGGAGCCAGGCGGCTCAGAGAATCAGAAGGTAGAAGATACAGGCTAACTTAGGCAGGGGTGAGGGGTGGTACTTCCTTCCCTAGGGAAGTAATCAATGTCGTCCAATCGGGCCTTTTAACCATGATGGGGAGGAGCGTGCGTGTGTCTTTATTGTATCCATATTTGACTTGCCGGGGGAATAGGAACCAGAAGGCCTATGATCAAGTTAGCTGGCCTTTCTTACAACAATGCATGGAAAAGATGGGCGTAGGACCGAATTTTAGGAAGTGGATAAGAGTTTTGTATAATGATGCGAAGGGACAGATACAACTTAATGGCCACCTCTCCCAGACCTACACGATGTCAAGATCAGTTCGTCAAGGAGATCCTTTGGCAGCTTCCATTTTTTTGTTTATAATGAAGGCGGTTGCCTCTTTCCTCTGTATAAATCCATCTATATAGAGATTAATTTCACCACCTGATCAACAAGGACATACAATGGAACTCCCCACCACAATCCTATTCGCAGCTGATTTAAGGTCCTCATAAGAGCGACAGACTCCTCATTCCAAGCACTCACGAAAGCAATTGAGGCGTTCCAAATTGCATCGGAAATGAAGGTAAATTGGCAGAAAACATTGGGGTGGTGGATAACAGAGCAAGAACAACAAAACACGCCTCCCACCAACAATCCGAAAGGCTTTCACTGGACGACGAAACACACTCCCATCAGATACAGAAGGAGGAATGCATCACTCCATGGCAGCAGATCTGATGTCAAAAATCTTGGTAAAGCTGGGGGCATGGTCGGCAATGTACACTTCGGTATTTGGAAGGGCACTCGTACTTAATGCCTCAATTTTCCCAATGTTATGGTATGCTGGGTCTATATGGTCCCCTCCAAAAGCATCGGCATGTATACTAAGAAGAAGAGCGGCAGCGTTTCTATGGATGGGTACGGCGAACAACGAGCGTTTTATATCTAAAGTAGCATGGAAACTTGTAACTAGGCCCAAACAGCAGGGGGGTCTGGGGGTGCTAGACCCCGATACCCAGCTTAAAGCGCTGCAGACTAAATGGCTGGTCGAAATAATCACGCGTCCGAAACTATCGTGGACACCTATGGTAATGGAGAGGGTTAGACAAATGGCTAAATACAAAACACCAGGTAACATGTCAGGACAGTTTTGGCTAATGTGTGGGAATTGGGCAAAGGTTGGTACCAGGGAGGGATTAAACACGGACCAAGTAGACGTAATGAGGAACTCTGAATACTGGATTCAGCTCCTTAAGCTCTGGAAGGACATATTTCCGTCAAGGGTAAGAGAACCAACCTCAAGGGAAGAGGTTCTCAAACAACCTCTATTCTGTAATTTAAGTATAAAGGACGGCCAGGGCAAACCATTGACGCTTTCAGTCAAAGACACTAAATGGGGTAGATGGCTAGAACATGGGGTATGGCAGGTCAAACACCTTTGGAACGACGAAGAGAAGAGGTGGAAAACACTTACGGAACTAAGGACACATCCGAAGGGGTGTCACAGACTCCAAGAAAATCTAAGAATCGTCCTACAAGCCATACCAAAAGAGTGGATGCTTCTGCTGCAGGCGGGAACGAAGTGGGGATTGGGAGATTGGGTTTCATGGGTAGATGACAAGGAGCCTAAGGAGGTCTTCAGAATATGGGGGTTAGAACCCTCCAGACCAGACTGGTTAATCGCGGATAAATATGATATAACGCAACTTTCCATCACCACGTCCCAGCTAGACAGCACAACAAAAGCACCGATTCATATCCTCAAACAGTATGTGCGGAAAGTGGGGGTGGTCGAGACAGAGACATTTACATTATATAATTCAATAGTACCAATAACAAATCTCGAAGTGGACCCGGCAGAATGGGCATGGAATATCAGAGGTGGTCAAAGGGGAATATCTAGAAGAGTAAACATTCTACACTACACCATAAGAATAGGGTACAAATTGAGAAGGCGTTCTATTTCCATTTCTCCCACATTGTTAAAGAGATGGGAGAAGAGGGTAGGGGTGACCCGAGGACAATTGTCGGTGACCCGAGGACAATTGTCTTCCTTCCCTTGGTCTAATTTGGGGGCGATAAGGTTGGGCTCTGTCAGAAGCATGCAATGGCTTATAGCCCATGTAGCACTCGTTGTGAATGTTTGGCTCAATCAACGAAGAAATAGAGGGTAGAGAAGTGACGAACAGGAGTGGTGCAAGGTTTGCAGACACGAATTCCTGAAACAATGCAACATTGCCTGATCGACTGTGAAGAAGCACAACGAATTTGGGAGATGGCCAAAGACACATGGAGACAAGTAACAGACATAGCGTTTCCAGACTCAAGGATTTCCTTATTGTTGGGGTTGTCAGTTCCCAAGCAATGGCAACCTTTTCAGAAACATATGTTTCAGCTAACAATACAATACGCCCTATGGACCATTTGGAAGCGTCGATGCCAAATCACGATAGAGGGCACAATAATGCATAGACATGAAGCTAAGGAAATCTTCTTATCCCTCATCGAAACACACCTTAAGGCCCTGTGGAAGGCGGTAAGGAACCAGGTAAGCCAACAACCGGAACAAGAGGATGAAATATTGAAAAGATTAAGCAAAAGGTACTTGCTGACGGAGTAGTAGCTTCAATCCAAGGAGTACATTTGATCTTCAAGTGGAGAGAGGGAGGGTGCAGACCATAGAATTATAGAGAAGGAAGAAAGGGAACGATAACTAAACAGTGGAAGGTAGGGTTTAGGGTTTAAGGGATATAGATGGGGAAAAGGAGGGACAGTGATGGATAGGGTTAAGGGTTAAAAGGTGATGCAAAGGGAATAGGAAGGATACAGTAGAAAAAAGGATTTAGGGATTAGGGGTCACATAAGGGAAGTGGGTCTAGGGTCTAGGGGACACAAAGGGTCTGAAGTATAAAATAAGGAAGGTTAAGGAACAAAGGAAGGGCAGTTAGGCAGAAAATAAACAGAGTACGACAAAAGGTGGCACAAAAGTTGGATTTAGGGTAGAAATCTAGGGGACACAA